GGAAGTCCTGAATCACTAATCTAAGCCAGTTTTTGATGACTTTAAAATCAGATTTTCAAAATCAAGTCAAATTTCATGATCAAACGCTAGTTAAATATCTAGTAAAATAATTGAGATGAGCCTAAAGTTACTAACATATCATCATCATTATTAAAAAAAAAAAAGTTGTAAAAGTGACACAAAATAATGACCAAAAGGAGGGGGGGTTGGGGCAGTGTGCAGTGTGTGTGTGGCGGCTGAGGTGTGAGAAGGGGAAGGGGTCCACCAGGGTGTAAGGCGTGGTCACCCCTGCGCCTTATAAGGCATGTGGGGCCGTGCGCCTTCCCCTTAACATTGTTAAACGGCGTTTCAGGACAAGGGGCAAGGCGTGGTTAGCCCTGTGCCTTTTCCCCTTTGGTATTTTTCAGTTGTTGATTGCCATTTTGGCTCTGGATTCTTGTTCTTTTTAGTTCTCTTCTCAGTGTCACTGGCAATCCATCTATCCTAATCTTGTTTACTTTTCATTCAAATAGACATCAAGTTTACTTTTTTTAAAGTACATATCGTTTTGCTGCATAGTCTTACTTTCATTTTATTGCTTGGTAATAGAGGAATTCAAGTTGGAACTTTAAAGCAACCACGGGAAAGTTTAAAATTAGAGTATAGAGGCAAGTGAAATGCATGTTTCATCTTATACGGGAAACAAGAGTATAGGTCTAAATCCAAATTCTCTTTTTTTCTTAGTGAGATAGGGAAACACATTATAATTTAAAATGTTTGCAGAACTTGTGATCAAAGAATCTTGCTAGTCGAACCAAAGGTTTGGAAGTTAAGATCGTCTTATCTTAGTTGACTACTTTTCTGCTTGTCTAATCTTGCCATCTCAATTTAAAATCTTGTCGTATCTTTTGTCTGAGATAAATTTGAAAATCATCAAATTTGTTCAGTTTCTTTGACCTTACCAGAAAAATGACCGAGTCTATGACAGACTGCTTTACAAAATTACAACTTGGAATATGTAAACCTTGGCTCATTTACTCTCTTGCTGTTCTCGTAGTTCTCCATTATTTCTAAGTGACACTGATAATCCATATACCCATTATCTTGTTTTCAAGTTTGACTTTTCATTCAAAAAGACATCTAGTCAAAGACGTTTTTACAATCATTATAATTAGTTTAATAAATTCTGACTACATGATCGCGTACTCCCTGCATCTTTTTTTCCTATTCCAACTTGCATTATACTTTAGCTACTGTCTTCAATTTTTGAACTTCACATTACATTTCTAAGTTGGTGATTATTAATGGTTTTGAATGGCCACCCCATTGTACATCTGGCCATTACGCAATGGAATTTCTCCAAAGCTTCCAAAATAAAATGGTAGATTGAGTAATCATAACATTTATTTTGTTTTAACTATTTCTTGCAAAGTTCTTTGAAGTGAATGGGCTAACTAATGGAGAAGTGTGTGCTTGGGCAGGCCCCTTTCCGCCTGCCACATCCCAACGCTCTTTTTTTTGGAACATTGAGTTTACTTGTTTGTACCGATTCCTCAACTTTGTTCATAACAAAGATTTGTTGTTCTTGCAGGGATGAAGAATATAGAGAAGACCCTTCTGTTTATACCTGGCTCTCCTGATATATATAGTTAGTGCCATACCTGACTTTATCTTTTGTTAGCAACACAAATTGTCGTTGTGTCCGGAAAACTAATCCATCGACGCAAGTGTTATTTTGCTATCTAATCTAGACGTGTGAAAACCGCCTGAGGAAACGTCGTACTGTTGGTATTAACTATTAACTAGCAAGTTATTTGAATCTTCACCTATGTATCTAGTATAGCAGTCTTTTTAGCTGCTGGAAAATTGTGGTTAAACATATGACTAATATTTTGCTTGTTGATTCTTGTGTTAACGTTAGTATTATGTGCTAATGTGTGTTAATCTAGTTTATTTGTGTCTGTATTTTTGTTTACAAATGATGGAGGTGCTCAACCATTCGAGTAAAGTTTCACTTGTTTGGTCATTTCTATCAGTATTACTCCATTTCGTTCACTTTTTACTTGTCCATTAACGACTTCAGATTTGACCTCTTACTATCTTCGACTTTGTTGCTTTCAAGGCTTTCGCCCTTTATCGTCTTGTTTCTGGAGTGGTAAAACCATGTTCATGCACCAATTGTCTTTGAGTAATTTTATTGGTGATTAACAATAATATACTGGTAGAACGGCTCAATAAGATCGAGTCAACTTTAACGAGACATTTATTGTTTTTGGTCAATCTTTAAAAAGAAAAATTAACCTAAAATTTATTATAGGTAAGAATTGGACTTCAATTCTTTTTAAACTAGAGGTCTGAGGTTTGAGTCTCGTAATAATATTTTGTTTAGCTATAGAGTACTTTCCTCTTTGATTGGTTCGGTGTGTCTCAAAATCGAATTAATCGGGAAATTCAATCTAAATATCAAACATTGGATAAAGAAAAACTGAGACCTTCAATATATATATATATATATATATATATATACCTTTTCCTATTATATATATATGTTAAAATATCATCTCTGACCTTTTCCTATGTTTACTTTTCATACATATTTTAATTTCCTTTATACAAATTCTGACTTAGATATCGATTATGTCTACTTAAGAAACTAAAGATAATAAAATGTTAATGTCCTTTGAGTTGTTATATTCTAATTTCTAACCCATCAATTTGAATTTTTGACTTTTTGTGCATTGTGTTAAATTTAAATCACTTTGTAATCTTGCTGCGGCTATATTTACTAAAATATTTTCTTCGTCTATTTATTTGTCAAATATTTTAAAAATAAATTTTTATTTTTATTTATCGTTTTGAAACAATTTAATTTTACTTTTAATATTAATTATTTATTTTTCAATTACTTCTTAATATCTAGACTATACATTAATTAATATAAATATAAATATTATAATAAAATATTCATATTAATCAATAATCATCATGAATTTTACCTATAAATCTATAATAGGTAAAAATTGGACCTCATTCTTTTTAAACTAGAGTTCTAAGGTTTGAGTTTTAGAATGATTTTTTGTTTAGTTAGGGAGCACTTTCCTCTTTAATTGATCATACGTGTCTTAGAATCGAATTAATTGAGAAATTCAATAAAAATATCAAACATCAAATAAAGAAAAACTAAGGCTTTCAAAATTCTGAAGCCTATAATTTTCGATTTAATCGCTTTAGTGGCTTGACCCTTTGACCGGCCCGGCCTCTTGATATCTCATTGCTAATTGGTTAATGGTGAAACCATATTAATGTACCAAATGTCTTGAGTGATTTTAATAGGTGATTAACATTAATCTTTTGACATCACCTTTTTTTTTTTGTTTTCCACCCGGTGTTCGAAGCCTACATTAGAGCTCCGACTAAATCTGGATCGCGCTCTGCAGGGCCCATTCGGGGATGGCTCTCCCAACAAGATTTTCTCCATACCCAGGGCTCGAACCTGAGACCTCTGATTAAGGGTGAAACACTCCCATCAGTGCACCACAACCCATGTTGGTCTCCTGACATCATGTTGCTAATTGGTAAATATCAGTTAAATTTAGTCAATTAACGAGGCATTAGTATGTAACATTAGCATAAAATAGATGTATTTAAATAAAGGAAAAATTACGAGAATATACTATTTAAGACTTTAAATTACATAATATTATTCTAGTCTTTTTATTTATAACATTAACATTTTAATTATAAATATGACAATTTATTATAAAACAAATAGCTACACGATTTAAGACCTATTTTATTGGTTAGTGAGCTGATTTTATGGGAATCATATTTTACCTTTTATTTTATTTAATTTTTAGAATCTCTATCACAATTATATTTGAATATGTTTTCGTTAATAAATATCTCATTTTCTTTCTCTTGTTACCCTTTTCACGAAGGGATACAATTAGACATTCATCGTACTTTTTATTGGTATTAATGTTGGATTGTTGCACTATTTTTTATTTTTCAATATCATCTTTTTATCAAGACAAAGGATTTGTCTCTCCTTCTTGAAAATATTAAGCAACAATTTATTTTCATTCGTTTTCTTCTTTTTAAAATCATCTCTAATAAAGCAAATAAATTATTTTTACTTCTTGGAAAAATCAATTATGAGTAGAAAAATTACTATAGATAATACTCTCAGAAAAAGTCTCGTTTAAGAAATATTCATCTTTTCTCATTAAGAATTTTGATTTTTCTTCATACTTGTTCCCCCCTCTTCCCCCCCCCCTCAAAATTACACATTTTTGAGGAAAAAATCACAAAAATATACTATATATTTATTAAAAAACATAAATCAATACCAATTGGGTTCAAAAGTGGCCCGATTGGAAACAGCAAAACAAAGTAAACTACAAGAAAAAGAAAACAAACTAACAGAAAAGGAAATAAACTCAAATGTCTGGAAAAAAAATCAGCTTCTCCGGTGTGACAATAGCCGGAGAATCCTCCCAAAGTGACGACCAGTCCTTCCAAATACTAACCTCCTCTTGATATGAGCTTTGTTCGATATCGATCCAGGTACGGGCTGCAATCACGTCCACATCAACAAATCTCACTGATGTAATGGTTCAAATACCTTTGAAGACTTCTTCTACCTGAATTTTATCGATCTGAGCTAGATCTCAAGTTATGCACAAGAATTTTGGGGACACGCTTCAGTCGCCATCCAGATTTGAAGACAAGATCTATCGAGATAAGTTTTACCTTTATAATTTAATTACTCATCTTTGAGATATGTTTTGATACCTAGTCCTTGATTATTCTCCTCAACAGGTTGAATCCCACCGGGATTAATACCACTGTTTAAGTCGACTAATCTCTGACCTTGCATCGCTCAACCTTTTCAGGAGACTAAGGTAATCTTTCACCTTCTTAGTTTAGTCCTCTCCTGATTTGCTTTGAACTGATGTGGTGCTCTTTTTCTTTTTTAAGCACCATTATAATGTTTGTTTTGAACTTTTCGGATCCTCAAATTAGGAGTCTTTTCTTTGTCTTATTGCAAAATAGCTTTCGCCTGTTGTGATAGTTCCTGCATATTTCGATATTGTAAAATGAGCAAACGACTTAGTTAAAGCATCATCGAGGCTATTCCCTTCTCTGAGGACGTGAATCACCTCCACCCCATGACTCCTTATCATTGTCTGAATGTGTCTAATATCCCAAGCTATCTGCCATGGGACCTCCCATACTCCATGTATAACTTTCTGAGCCACTAGTGAGTCTGTCTCAATTATCAAGGGAAGGAAATTTCCTTGACTGCAGTATTGTAACCCTTCATTAATTGCCATGACCTCTGCCTCCAAAATAGATGTAGTATTAATTCTTCTAGATTCTGCATATTTCAAATCTCCTCGTATATCTCTAATACAAAAGGCTATACACCCAACTCCTGATTCAAGCTGATAAGAAGCATCAGTATTGCATTTATATACTCCCATGGGGGATGACTCCATCTCACCACCATAGATTTTGTCAATGGAGCATATCCTTCAAGATATTTGACAATTAAGGGCCAATTTTGAGGGACATTTTTTAACCATGGATATCTACTCTTAGTAAATAAGTAGATGTTTCTATGTATCTCTACAATCATTAGGGTTGTTGACATATTTCCACCATGCTTCATTACATTCCTCTTCTTCCAAATTTCCCAAGTTATGAAAACAGGAACTACTTTAAACAATTGCTTCAATTTAGGACTACCATCAGCTTTCCACCAATCTTTCATAATCTGTTGAAGCTGATTAATTGGAAATGATAACCCTGCAGCATTTCTAAAAGTTTTCCAAACAGATTGAGCACTAGGACAATTGACAAAAAGATGAGAGAAAGTTCCAAGAGCACTATTATTACAGTAGCTACAATCAACCCTCTCCACTATGTTCCTTCTAATTAAGACCTCCCCAATAGGAATCCTTCTAAACCATAATCTCCACATAAAAAAGGATACCTTAAAAGGCAAACCTTTCTCCCAAATTTTGGAGATATCTTCTATATACTCTCCTCTACTTCTGCATAATTCCCAGGCTGAGCTAACTTTGAATTTACCATCACTACTAGGCATCCACCATGCTTTATCTCTTCATTCAGTACTAGTAAAGCTTCCTAAGGTATTGCATATGTGATTGCATATATCCTCATTGAAATTACTTTCCAGTGCATTAATCTTCCATCCATCTTCAGCATATAGTTCCTTGACATTTCCAGTTGACTTTGGTTATGTGATATAGGCATCAAAAAATGCAAAGCACACAGTTGTGTCCAGTTATCAAACCACACACTAGCATGTCCTTCTCTAGGTTCCCACCAGATCTCTTGATCAAAGAAACCCCTAGCTTGTAACATAGTTTTCCAAACTTGATATCCTTCTTTTTAGTCCACCAATTATGGCCTTTGTCTTTAACAATACTTATTTCACATAAAATTAGTTCACATGGTATTTTTTGTTCTAAAATTCCACCACAGCTTAGCAAATAAAACTTTGGAGACATCAAATAAAGATCTAAAACCTAAACCTCCCTCCTCCTTGGGCAGATAAATATCCCCCTATGCTACCCAGTGAGTGGCTCTTCCTTGTTCTTTATAATTCCACAAGAATTTTGCAAAAATTTATGAATATCATCAATGACACATTTAGGAGGCGTGATAGCTGAGAGGAGGTAGACACGAATACTCTGCAATACATGGTTAATCAACACTGCTTTGCCCCATTAGATAAAAGTTTCCCTTTCCACATTTGAAGTTTATTCTGAATCTTCTTGATGAGCTCTTTGAAATGAATCTTATTCTTCTTAGCATGACCAATAGGACAACCCAAATAAGTTAAAGGAAAACTGCCTTTGCAGAAACCTGTGATTTCCTCCACCATTTGAACAGAGCTAAGAGCAGCTTTGTTAAACAAGTAAAATAAACTGTTTTCTTTGTTTATAAGCTGTCCTGATTGCTGTTCATACATTTTCAATGTGTGCATTATCAACTTGAGAGAACTCCTATCAGCAAAGGCAAAAATAATTGTATCATCAGCATAAGATAAGTGATTCAACTGTTCACTCCATTTAGGAAGACCATATCCTTTATATTCCTCTTCTAGGAATAGATGATTTAGAGCTCTCGTTAATACCTCAGCAGTAAGTATAAACAAAGCAAGAGACAAAGGATCTCTTTGTTTAACTCCTCTTGATTAATGGAAAAAACCATATGCTTGACCATTAATCAATATAGAGTACCAATTATTAGCAATAATTCTCCAAATCATGTCAAGCATCATAGAATTGAAACCCATTTTTCCATTACTTTAATAAAAAATCTCCAATCAACCCTGTCATACGCCTTTTCCATGTCAAGCTTGATAATTACATTATCTGGTTTGCTCCTCAACCTAATATCAGTAACAATTTCTTGAGCCAGCAATACATTTTCAGTAATATTTCTTCCTTTGACAAATTCAGATTGATTCTGGGATATCAATCTAGGAAGCAACACCTCCATTCTATCATGCACCAATCTAGATATGATTTTATTAAGAAAATTACTCAAGCTAATAGGTCTAAGATCAGAAAAGGATTGAGGAAAATCCTTTTTAGGTAATAGCACCAAGTTAGTATGAGTAATAGACTTAGGTAAAGTAGCTCCTTTGAAGAAAGCTTAAACTACTTTTATCACATCTGAACCAATAGTGTCCTAACAGTTCTGATAAAAACAACCAGAAAAACCATCTGGTCCACAAAAGATTTATGCATTTAACTCAAATACTACCCTCTTAATCTCAACCTCATCAGGTAACTTGGTCAATATATCATTTTCCTTTTGTGAGATTACAGGATTAATATGCATTAGTAGAGATAAGTTAGAATGATTAACCCTGCAGTAAATTGTTTGGTAAAAAAATTAACCCTTTCCTCTGCAATCGCATTTTCTGATTCTGCCCATGAGCCATCAGATTTAATTATTCTCCTCATGTAAAGCCTCTTTCTTCTTCCTCTCACTAAACTGTGAAAAAATTTAGTGTTCATGTCCCCTTCCTCAAACCACTGCACACTAGATTTTTATCTCCAAAACTCTTCTTCAAAGTGTAAATAAACCTTCAGCTCTGTATGAGCATTCTGAAGAATACTTCTGTTAGCGGGTGATGGATCGTCAAGAAATAGTTGCTCCTTCAATTTCACTATCTCTTCTCTAATTGCTAATTGTTTAAAAATATCCCCAAAATTTTCTTTACTCCACTTAGCTAAAGCCTTCTTGGTCCTCTACTGTTTCTGCTTAAGTTGTACAAAAATATCATCTGAACTCTCAGCCACCCAGTTCTGCTCCACTTCTTCTTTAAAATCCTCTCTTTCAGTCCAAAACTTGAGAAACCTAAAAGGTTTGACAATATTACATTTACTGGCTCCATAAGTAAGCAGGAGTGGGGCATGATCAGACCTAGTCCTAGCCAAATGTTGTACCCATGAATTGCCATATAAGTCCAAAAATAAATTATTCACCACTACCCTATCCAATCTCTTAAAAATGCATTCCCCATCTACCCTACCATTCTACCAGGTGAAAGGGTTTCCTGAGAAAGTAATATCAGCCAAACCACTTGCATTTAAACATTCAGCAAAATCCTCATACTCTTGGGGATATACTGGTAAACCACCAATCTTTTCTTTTTCACTCAATATCACATTAAAATCACTCCCGATCATCCAGGGGACAACATATTCCTGACTTATTGTGAATATCTCATCCCAGAGCGAAAGTCTCTCAATAGCAGAACATTTTGCATATACAGCAGATACCAAAAGTTGTTCCCCATTTTCCAGAGTGAGTTGTAAAGTTAATTGTTGCTCTGAGTCAGCTATAACTCCTACATAAACGTGTTGCTTCACAAACACCCAAATTTGACCATTCACATTATAGTTGACATAGTGCATCCCCAATCTTCTTTTGTATCTCTGAATATGCTTAGAATTTTGAAATGGCTCCATTAATGCAATCAACAAAAACTTATGATGTTTGTGGAGCATTTGAACTCTGTGAAATGCTTGTTGAGTATTAACAGACCTAATAATCCAAAATAAAGCTTTGTACTTCATTTAGAAACTGTTTTGGCAACCCTTCTAGCTTGAACCCTTGTAGGTAAAATACAATTACTGTCTCCATTAGCTTTACCTTTTCTTCCTTTTGTGCATAACTTAGGTGATAAGCCTGCCCCTTTGCATACTTGAACCAAGTTAGAGTCATTTTCCCCCTTTTCAATTTCTTCTAGGTATTCACTGTCTCCTACTTCAAGCTCTTGATTTTCCTTATTTTGGTCTTTGGTTTAGTTGCTCCATCTTATGAGACACCAAAGCATGCAGAGCTTCCATTAGTGATGATTTGCTAGTATTGAAATTTGTAATACTTGCATTTGTGCACTCTTGCACCTCCTGGTTCTGCTGGAATTGGATCTGCACCTTACCTTCCGCCACCATCTGCAAAGGTTCCTGGTATGTTGCTATTTCCATGTCTTGTACTGTGACAATTGTTTTCATTTCACCCTCCAGCATACTACTTGTATTTTCAGTTTGTTCTTCCCCTAATTGCTCACTTTTTTTATCACTTGCAGGTGCATCATCACAGGCAGTCCCTACTCCAGTAACAGCCTTCACAGCTGCATCATATACTACTACTGCTCCTCCATCTATTTGTTGTACAACATTCTGCACTAGTGTTCCAGCCTCCTCTACCCTTTGCCCTAAATACTCTTTCACTTTTGTGTCCATGTTATTATTGTTGTTGTTGGTTTGTTTCTCTTGTTGTGTAAATACCTCTGTGACCCATTCCTTGGTTGATACATGCTGATGAAAGTTGTCGTCTATATGCGTATGATTGTTTTTGTCTATTTCTTTTGCCCTGCCATTAGTCGATAGATTATCACTTTGTTGTTCACTATTTGCATCTTCATCGTTAAGAGCTGCAAAAGAGTTGCCAATTCTCATCGCTGTATCATCTTTTTGGTGTTCACTTTGCTTCTGCCTTGAGATAAATCTGTTTGTAGGGTGCCATTTTTTTAGTTGTTTTTCAACACAAATCACAGGTGTTCCAATTGCCTCCAGTGAGTCGACATTGTCCTGCCTCTCCTCCTCTTCATCTACTGTTACTTTGAGTTCATGATGTAATACTCTACATTCCATCTCTGCATGACCTTGTAACTTGCATGCTTGACAATACTTTGGCAGCAAGTCATATTGTATCTTAACCTTCTTAACTCTTGATGTCTCTGTATCCTCATTTCTCACCTCTAGTTCTATGACTTTAGGGAGATCTGCTAATAAATCCACCTGTACCTTCACCTTTGCACAGCTCGGCCGAGTTTTATTTATCGTAGCTACATCAAGGCGTAATGGTTTCCCTACTATTGAGGCTAGAGAGAAAATGGATTCCTTTACAAAAAAGGTGGGTCTTAATTCTGGAAAGGAGATCCATGCCATTGCTTGAGTGGTTTCCTCTTCTGCATTAAATTTTGCATCATAAATAAGAGGTCGTATCATATATGAATATCCATCCTTGGATAATATAAAATACGTTGGCTTAGACATCATATTGATGAAATCTTCCTTTCAAGTGAATCTTATAAGAATATGTATTTTTCGTAGTAACCCGATTTTACAATCCCCCTTAACACTGCATTGCTTAGGAATTTGTATGCGCAATTCATCCAAATCAGGCCAACCATATGAAAACTTCCCAATAACTGCGTATTGCATATTTTCTATGATGTTCATCCTATCGACTTCTTTTTCGGTCCAGACTATCCTTGGAACCCCATTGTTATAGGATACTTGTTTGATCGAAATTGGTTCCACTGCTGGCATTATGGTATTTTTCTCCTTATCACTTTTAAACATAATATCATATACTGGGACAAAATTCTTTCCGTCATTCAAATTACCATGTGATTTTCCATCATTTGATGGTGTTGCGTTTGTATGGCGTAGTATGGGAAATGCAAAATCATTGTATAACTCTAATGCCGGTCCAGCACTCAACGGCTAGCCGGCAGCCATAATCCTACCGGAAATCGGAGCTAGGGTTTGAAAG